TGCTTCCCTTTGCTTCCCTTTGCTTCCCTTTGCTTCCCTTTGCTTCCCAGAGCAGGTGAATGAGTTGGTGGCTCTGATCCCCTACAGCGACCAACGGCTTCGTCCCCAGAGAACGTGAGTTCACAGAGGGAGTATTTACAAACAGGGCTCTTTTTATATCATTTTCTGCTGCAACTAAACCCTTCACCCCAGTCTGCAGCTTCTCCTTCATGTGGCAGGGCGTTTTCATCCCCACACGCCAACAAACAGGATTTGAAGGTGTAACTTTGAATCCTTCCCGTGAAATCCCGCTGTGGGGTGAGTGTGGCAACAACGATCCTACTCGCTGAAGCTTCTTCAGAGCATCTGCAAAACCACCCAGCTGGGAAACAGGGAGGGCACAAACCGTGGTTACTCAGTGCCAGAAAATAAACTGCTTGAAAAGGGGGAGAAGGGTTTTGGAGCAATTCAGATACTGAAAAATGTCCGAGCAGCATTTCTGTGTGTGTGCCGAGGAAGAACGAGTGGGTGGTGGGTGCTTTTCAAACCCAGAGTCTCCCAGAAGGGCACAGCAGGTGAGCCCTTCCCTGCCTTTCCCCAGGAAGCTCTACGTCCTGCTCTCGGTGCTGCTCTGCCTCCTGGTCTCCGGGCTGGTGGTTTTCTTCCTCTTCCCACACTCTGTCCTGGTGGAGGATGATGGGATCAAAGTGGTTCAGGTGTGGTTTGACAGGAAGAACTCCGCTGTCCTTCTGGCCATCACGGTAAAGATTTCCACGGATCTGTGTGTTCTGTGGGGGAGCAAACTTGGAGCTGAGCCACCGGGAAGGTCCCTGCTGTCCACATCTCCTCCTTCTCTCCCTTCAGGGCACCTTAAGGATCAGGAACTCCAACTTCTACTCGGTGGCAGTGGCCAGCCTGACCAACCAGGTGCAGTACATGAACACGGTGGTGGGCACCCAGCAGGTCACCAACATCTCCAGCATCCCACCCCTGAGTGACAAACTGGTAATTTCTGTCCCCTAGTCAAGGGTGAAACCTGGGCCACCACCACGAGTGAGCACTGAGCTGCACCTCAGAGCTCTGCTCGGCCCAACATCTCGTGGCCAGGGTGGCCCCAAAGGCATCAGCAAGTGGGAAATACCCCCAAAACCCAGGGGGATTGAAGGAGTGCTCGAGCTGCACATAAATGATGTTTTCTTTTATCTGTTACAGGTGAATTTTACTGTGAAGGCAGAGCTGGGTGGAGCCTTCTCCTACGTGTAGTAAGGATTTGCTACTCCTTGTATGGGGCTGGGGAAGAGAGTGGGGTTGAAGGTGCCTCTATTACAGTTTGCAAAGTAACCTGGGGTTGGAAAAGGACCCAGTTTTTCTACTGACTTCCTGGAAAGCAGCTGTTAGTTAAAAAAAAACAAATCACTTGAAATGCCCTTTGTCAGGGTGTTGTGATGTGGTTTTGAGTTAACACCAATGGGAAATTATTGTGGTGATAATAACTATAAATATAATTATAAAAAATAATTATAACTCATTTTTGGCTGCTGAGAAACCCACTGCTGACCCACTTCTTTGGTCTCTTCCAGTTCCTTCTGCACGTACCCCAAGGTGAAGGTCCATAACATTGTGGTCTTCATGAGGTGGGTGGTTCTCTGCTCTCCCCCTGCTTAGAGCTCTCTTCCCAACCTTCCTGGCTCCTGAACTCCAAAGGGAACTGCTGCCACAGCAGGTCTGGGGTGCAAAGAGAAAATCCTGCTTGGCAAACACCCCAGCCTTGCCTCAGTTAATCCGGGCCAGTTGACACAGTGGGTGAAATGTGGGATAGGGAAGACAATTCCCTCCGTGTGCCGAGCTCTCCAGAGGCTCCACTTCCAGCCCCGCTTTATCCCTGCCCACCACAGCCAGGAAAACCTTGAGGGGTTCTGCTTTTTTTTTAGGGGGAGGGGAAGGGAAAGAGGAGTTGTTGTGATGAGTTCAAACCTGCCCTGAACTGCTCTTGCCCCTGCCAGGAGCTCGGTGAAGTTCTCCTACGTGGGACACACGACCCAGAGCTCCGTGGAGCGGTACCGGTACGTGGATTGCAGCTCCAACTCCACGGACCCTCTGGCACCTGGGGCAGCCTGAAGGCACAGCTGGGATTTCTAGAAGGGCACAGACACCTTTAACTGGAAGCAGTGACCCTGGTGAGAGGCACTTGGAAGCTCTGGGTCCCTTTTGTGCCCTTCCATGTGCCCCAAAACCCTCCGCGTGCAGGAAACGGGTCCCTCCACGGAACCTTCCCTTTGCTTCTGGAGAAACAGCTTTATTTGGGTAGGGAAACTGGACTTCAGGGAAACTTCAGGCTCTGAAATCCCGAAGGTTTCGAGTGTTTTGCACCTGTTTGGAAGCTTGGCACTGCTGGGTGTCCCAGGTTCTCTTGCAGTGGGTTTATTCCCTTCCTTGCTCAGTGGCAGCGTGTCACTGGGGTGTGTTGGAGCAGGCCTGGATGCCAAAGGACACTTCTCACTTAGGGACGTGCAGGGAAAGCTTCTGCCTCTGCCACGGGCACTAAAAGGAGGCAAAGGAGTCAAAACCTTTGGAACCACGGTGGTTTTGGTTTGCTGGCAGCTGAGAAACCCCGGAGCACCACCTGCCTTTGTGAGGGTCTGTGTTGGACTCGCCTCCTCCCCCTCCTCCTCCTCCTCCTCTGATCCTTCCTCTCCCCCCCTGCAGGGGTTTGAAACCAGGGCATGTGCAGCTCGGTGTGTTGCTTTGTACTTGTGCTCCACCGCGGGCAAACAGGGATTTAAACCGATTTTTGTGGGAGTCTGGGCTTCCAAGGCTTCCCTGCCGGGAGCGGCGCATTCCTGATGGTCGCTATCAGCTGCCTCCCGAGAGCAAATCGATGTGGCAGCTCTGCCCCCGCAGCCCTGCTGGGGACTCGCAGCCCGGAGAGTTTCGTCCCTCGGGAGTTTCCGCTGGAATTCGATCGCCGGGAGCTGCCCCCGTTCGTGCCCTGCCCCTTTGTCTGCCCGCCCGGGGGGTGTGGGAGCAGATCAGGCCCCTTTTCAGAGAGGGATGCTCGATTTTTGTGTGACTGGGACGTGAAAACACACCTTGCTTTCTTCTTTAAGAAGTGAGATCTCTGCCTAGTGGAGCTGAATTGTGCTGATTAAACCTGAGTTGGACGTTACCCTGTGCTGTCCTTTGTTTGAGGAGAAGATCTGGCTTTGTCCCAGAGCTGTGACTTTTCTCTTGTTGTCTTTTTGCCCAGAAATACCTGTTCTTTCACTGGGTTTTTTTTTTCCACAGAATCCCAGAATGGCCTGGGTTAGGAGAGAGCTTAAAGCTCATCTTGATTTCCACCCCCTGCCATGGGCAGGGGCACCTCCTACTATCCCAGGTGGCTCCAACCTGGCCTTGGACACTTCCAGGGATGGGGCACCCTCTGGGAAATCCATTCCAGGGCTTCCCCACTCTCCTAGGGAGGAATTCCTTCTCAATATCCCACCTAAATCCCCCCTTTCCCAGTGGGAAGTCATTCCCTGTGTGCTGTCCCTCCATCCCTTGTCTCAAGTCCCTCTCCAGCTCTCCTGGAGCCCCGTTAGGCTCTGGAAGGGGCTCCAAGGTCTCCCTGGAGCCTTTTCTTCTCCAGGCTGAACAATCCCAGTTCTCCCAGCCTTTCCTCACACCAGAGCTGCTCCATCCCTCTGACCATCTTTTGGACTCTCTGGGGATGAGCCCAAGGTTTTAGGGGAATGAAGGTGAAGAAACTCAACCAGAGAGACACAAAGCCACGCACCCATTCCCAGCTGGAATTGTGGCCTCACCCTCCCTTCCTGGTGACCTCACCCATGAGCTTCCCCCCACCCCAAATTCTGGAAACCCCTCGATTTATGATGAGTTGTTTTATTTTGTGAGGAAAACGAAGGAATCACAAGCTTTGCTTTTTATCCATCTCATTTCCCCCGCTCCTGGAAGCCTGGCTGGGCTCAATCCTGCCTTGCTTGGGGTCTCCTTGCTTTTCCCACCTTCCTCCCTCTTCAGCCACAGCCCAAACCCACCTTCTCCCGCTCCTCATGCCCATGTCCTACAGGCAGCCTGGGTGATTTTGGGGCTGCCCCTTCCCCCCCCAGCAGGACCCCCAAACTTGCTGCTTGGCTGAGCAGGAGAAGGGTTTGACCCCGAATTAGTGGGGTGAGGGCCGGCAGCCAGAGCTCCCATCATTAGGGGAGCCCCCCCCCCGGGTCATGTGGCGAAGCACTTGGCCTTTTAAAGGGCCATTTTATTTTGAAAATCCTCCTTAATCCTCCAATCCCCCTTAATGAATTTCCCCTGCCAAGGTTTTTGAAGGATCCCAGCCCTGCGGAAGCTGCCTCAGGTGCTCCCGGCTGGGTTGTGTTTCAAACCGACATCGGGGCCCCAAAATAGGAGCTTTTTCTTTTTGTTTCTGTTGGTGGCATGTGGGAGCTGCGAGGATTTCATTTAGAGAAATTACGACTTCAAAAGGATTTTAAAAAAAAAGAAAAAGCTGAGTTTTTAACCAATAGGACCATCGTGGAACTCCTGAGCTCCCCGGTCCGGAGCTGCCCCTTCCGTCCTGCAGGTTTGTGACTCCTCGGGGTCACTGGGCTGACTTTCCTCCAACACAGCTAAATAAAACCCTCCACTTCTGAGACTTTTCCTCTAATTAGCAGCCTGATTAGGAGAGGGATTTACATAGGTGACTTTTTATGAAGCCCTAAAAGCCGCAGGCGACGGCCCCGGACTCTCCCACTTCCGATACTGCAAAATAGCCCCAAATTGGAGTTTTGCACCCACAGAAACAGGATAAAAACCTGGGGGGAGAGTGGGGAGGAGCCCCCCCACCATGGTCAGACTGATTTGCTTCCCTCAGCTTTTACTGGTTTTAACTGGTGGCCCCAGTTCTGTTACAGAGTCCCAGGATGTTCTGAGTTCAGGGGTGCAGTGGGACAGGAAGTTCCACAGTGGAACCTTGTGGGTGTTGTGTTGCCTCCTGGGGTTTCAAGATTTTTCCCCTTAACTTGGTTTTCCTTTTCCCTCCCCCCCTTTTTTTTTTGGTTTCTTGGGTGATTTATTTTTGGTTTTTTTGGGTTCCCACCCCCCTTAGTGTGAAGTAGCCCCAACCCAGAAAAGTTGGAGTGTTGACCCAAAATGAGGATCTTAAAAGTTCTTTTTTTTCCACCTGAACCATTTCATGGTTCTTTCAGACCTTCCTTTATCCCGTCTGAGAAAGGGGGAGGGAGGAGACTGGACGCAGCAAACACACCGAAAACAAAACCCCGGCTCCACTTTGTACTTTCCACCAAAAGTTGTTTTTTTTTTGTATTTTTTTTTTTTTATATCAACTGATTTTAAAAAATACAGACTTGTTTTACAAGAATAGCACCATTTTTTGTTTGTTTTTTTTTTCCTTTTGTGTCATTATCATACAATTAAAACACTCCTGCTGGTGATACACGGAGGGAAACGGGGACGGGAGGGGATTCGTGGTACCTGGATTGGCGACATCCCTTCGGCAGGGAAGGGTCGGTTACATTCCCACCTCCACCTGACCTTCAAAAAATAGGTCTTACAGGAAGAGAATAAATAAATATTGGTTTGATTTCGCAGCCTGCCCAGGCATGAGGTGGTGGTCCCCGGTGGACGGGCGTGAGTCGAGGGGGGGTCGTTGCAGCCCTTCAGTGCAGAAGTCGTATGAGACAGAGAGAGAGAGAGAAGATTGAGAAGTTCCTCAGGTTCCTTTGGGGTGGGTTCAGTTTGTTGGGTCTTCTTTTTGTTTTTTGTTGGTTTTTTTTTTACAGTTTTACGGCGTCGGGCTGGATTTAAAAAAAAACAAAACAAAACAAAACACAAACCCCCCCAAAAAAAAGCCCAGAACAAAACACCACAACGAACGGCAACCGACGAACGAACGCACAAGTAAAACAATCCTTTTCTCGTGGTTTTTTTTTTTGTTTGTTTGTTTTTTTACAAGAAGCAGACTGGGCCAATGTCTACGCCAAACTCCTGCTCGGCTCCACCAATGTCCATAGGTGCAATGTCCACGATGGGCAGGCGCGAGGTCTTCTGCGACCGGTACTCGATGACCGTCTTGCCCCACTTGCCGGTGTGTTTCTGGGGAAACCCGGAGGAAAGGTGTTATTAGACACCCTCAAACTCCCCCCCAAACCACCAGGTTGACCCCCTCCAACTCATCATCATCATCATCATCTTTGTGGCAGGATAGACCCACCCCGAGAAGACCTAAAATCCAATCGAGAAGACCTAAAATCCAATCGAGCTGTCAATCAGCTGCTGGAGTCAGGGTGTTGTCTTGGTGTTAATTATGCTAAAACCATCCTGGTTCATCAACTTGAATACACACCCTGCTTTTTGAAGTCTGGTTTGACAGATAAGCTGGTGGCTGGCCTGGAAAGGTGTGACTGGCAGTGAATCACTTTATGCTAGCAGTCAGGTTCCTCTGACATAACCTTTTTGGGGTGGATGTGTGGAGGTTCCTCCCTTGACTGGGGACACCCTCCAGGGTCACTCCTCGGGGTTGAGAGCAGAGATCTCCCTCGGTCTGGGTCAGATCTCTACTTAATAATTATTTCTTTTCACCAGCTTTAATATAACTGCTTCAACAATTGCTTTGTTACAGTGCACTGTACTACCTCATATTGTACTCTATATTATACTCTATATTATACTCTATATTATACTCTACTACATTATACTGTATTATACTATACTAGTAAATTTTTAGTGTTCATATCATGTGGTGAATAGTTCTGATTGGGATCTTTTGTCTGATCATTTGTATGAAACAAATCACTCATTTTTACAAAAAAAAAACCTTAAAACCCACGGGACAAAAGCGGCTCCGTCACAACCTCCGTAACTCCTTCAATTTAAACCACTCACACAATCCCAGGCTAAGGCTGGGTTGAGCTGCACCGAGACCCCTCCCTGAGAAGGGATTCCTGCCCGTGCCTCGATTCTCACCGGTGAGGCTTTGCTTTCTACCCCCTCTGTCCCAGCCTCGCGCTCCCACCCCGGCCCCGGCGCGGGCTCACCGTGCATCCGTCCTCCAGGACGCTGTAGGTGAACCTGCTGTTGCCCTCGGCGCGGATCTCCACGTCGTTGGAGCCCTGGATGAGCAGGGCTTTCTTCAGGTTGCCGGTGTCCTCGTCCAGGTAGGCCACGCTGTTCTTGCAGTGGTAGGTGACGTTCTGGGAGCCCTCGGTGGACAGGAGGCGCAGGAAGGTCATCTGGATGTTGGCGGTGTTGGGGGCCAGGTCTTCGTCACCGTAGCTGAACTGGAGGGAGGGAGGAGGGACATTAGAACCCTGAGGGTGTTGAAACGGTGCTGTTTCGAGGGGTCTCCTGTAATTTGCCTCCCCAGGTGGCTGCAGACATCCCATCCCAGCTGCCCCAACCCCAAGTGCTCAACACGACGCTCGGGGTCAGCCAGTGCCTCGTTTAACACCCACCAGTTTCACCCCAAGGAAGGACACCCCAACCCTCCAACTGGACACCCAACGCTCCCCCCCTGCTCCACCTTCACCCCCTGCTTGACCTCCACCCCCCTGCTCGACCTCCACCCCCTGCCCCGGGGGGGGACACTCACGTGGAAACCGCCGTTGATGGTCTCTGCAAACCAGATGTGCTTCTTCTCTTTGGCCTTGCTGGTCCACCAGTTCTTCCTGGGGATGCTGCTGGGGTTGGGGTACACGCAGGTCTCGCCCGTCTCCATGTTGCAGAAGACTTTGATGGCGTCCAAGGTGCAGCCCTGGTTGGGGTCGATCCAATAGTCTCCTGCAGGGAGGGCAAAGGGTGGTGTGAGGGTGAGGGTTTGGGGGTTGGAGCACCTGACTTGGCCTTTTGGGTGCAAGAGACTGAGGGAGAGGGACGGGGGAGGATGAGGAGGCTCTTTTTTGTTTCACAGGGTACGCTGAGCTGGAAGAGATCATCAAGTCCAACCCCAATCCTGCACAGGACACCCCAAAATCCCACCCTGTGCCCCAGAGGAGCATCCAAACCCTCCTGGAGCTCTGGTAGCCTTGGGGCTGTGCCCACTGCCCTGGGGAGCCTGGGCAGTGCCCATCCACCCTCGGGGGGAAGAACCTTTCCTTGGGATCCAACCTGAGCCTGCCCTGGCACAGCTCCAGGACATCCCAGAATTCCAGAATCTGAGTTGGAAGGGACCCACAAGGACCATCCTGTCCAACCCTCAGCCCTGCACAGCCCCACATAGAGTCACCCCATGTCCCAGAGAGGATCATCCAAACCCTCCTTGGTGCTGTGCCCACTGCCCTGGGCAGCCTGTTCAGTGCCAACCACCCCGTGGGGGAAGAACCTTTCCCTGACCCCCACCCCACCCCACCCCACCCCTGACACAACTCCAGGCCATTCCTGGGCGTCCCTGGTCCCCGCAGAGCGGAGCCCTCACCGCTCTTCCACTCGGGGTGGCAGAGCTTGATGTCGCGGCAGGTCCTGGCCGGGTTCTTCTTGGAGCCCTCGGGGCTGCGGATGCTCTCGATCTGGTTGTTGAGGGACTTGAGCGTGGCGTCCACCTCCACGTCGTGCTGCCTCAGGCTCCCGGCGGCCTCGTCCGCCCTCATGTACCGGATGGGGTCGGGGCCCTTCTCGGGCTGCCCCAGCCCCGCGAACGCTGACATGTCGATGCCGGTGCCGGGCGGGCCGGGGGGGCCGGGGGGACCTGGGTTTCCGGGAGGACCCTACGGGAGGAAGGAGATGCAAACCCATCCTGGGGGGGCTGCCCTGGCAGCTGGACCCCCCCTCCATCACCCTGCCCATCCCGGGGGGTGTCACTCACCGCGGGGCCGGGTTCTCCGCTCCGCCCGCGGGGCCCGGGGGGGGCCGATGGGGCCGGGCATGCCGTTGGAGCCGTCCTTGCCAGAGGGGCCCACGGGGCCGGGGGGACCCTGAAAGAGCCCCAAAAGGGAGGTCAGAGAAGGTGCTGGGCAGCCCTCAGCTCCTGCCATCAGCTGACCCGGGCAGGGGCTCGAGGACAGAGGTGCCTCCTTTTCCTCTCAACCTCCTTTTGCTCTCAACCCCCCAAACTCCTTTTCCTCTCATGCCCCCCAAACTCCTTTTGCTCTCAACCCCCCAAACTCCTTTTCCTCCCACGCCCCCAAACTCCTTTTGCTCTCAGCCCCCCAAACTCCTTTTCCTCCCACGCCCCCAAACTCCTTTTCCTCTCACCCCCCCAAACTCCTTTTCCTCTCACTTCCCCCAAACTCCTTTTCCTCTCGTTCCCCCCCAGGACTTACCCTGGGACCAGAGGGACCTGCGGGACCAGCAGCACCTTGGTCTCCAGAAGGACCCTAAGAAGGGATGGAGGGTGATGGTTAAGCCTGGCATCAAGGGGGTGCTCAGCCCCAGCAAAGCCTCCACACGGTCTCGGGGCTCTGCCCGTGGCCACATCCAGCTCCACGGGGAGACGTGGGGGGCTGGGGGTCCCCACACCAGCACTTACGGGGGGGGCCAGGGAGACCCTGCAGGCCGGTGAAGCCACGGTGACCCTTCAGCCCTCTCTCTCCAGCCTCTCCCGTCTCGCCCTTGTCACCACGAGGCCCTTGGGGACCCTGGAAGGGGAGGGGTGGAGCCGTGTCAGGCTGAGGGTGACAGACCCCCCACCCGACACAACCCACGCTCCGGCTGTCCCGGCATCACTCACCGGCATCCCCCGAGCGCCAGCGGGGCCAGAGGGACCCATGGGACCTTGTGCACCCTGGGGAGAAAAAAGAGGGCGGTCAGAAGCAGAAGAAGTTGGGGGCAGGGGGTGCTCTCTGCCTTTGGGGGTGTCCAAACCGGCCCCATCACTGGGAATCAGCATCTTTAGACACCCTCAGATGGAGCATCACACCCAAACGATCCTTGGAAATGGAGACATTCCCTGCTCCAGCTCCTGGGGCTCACAGCCCCCCAGGCAGAGCCCCAGCAGGGCCTCAGGAATCCTCAGGAAGATGCTCGGAGCTGCTCAGGGCACCCCTGAATCCCTGCTGGGCACTAAAGGCACCCACCTGGCTCCCCCAGACCAATGACTCCCCGACTCTTCCCTGACCTGCCCTCGGGGTGGTTCCTGTCTCCCCAAAAAAACCCTCAGACCCACCATTCCAGCACTCACCGTCTCGCCTCTGTCTCCTTGTTTGCCGGTGGGACCCACGGGCCCGGGAGCGCCGGGAGCACCGGGAGCACCGGGGGCACCCACGGGCCCCGTCTCGCCTCGATCGCCCTGTGCAGGGACACGGGAGTGGAGTCAGAGCCGCGGGACTGGGAGCACTGGGGGTGTGGGGAGGTATTCACGGCAAACTCACCTTCACTCCAGCCGCGCCGTCTCTTCCCGGGGGCCCGTCGGAGCCGGGATTTCCCTGGGAGAAGAGGAGGAATCAAGGCTCGGCTGGGTGAAAACTCCCCTCTCCGAGCCAAAAACCAAGGGCAGAGCCCTGTGATGGGCAGGGGCACGGGGCAGGGGAGGGGGGCAGCACGGGGCTCACCCGGGCAGGGGGCTGCCCCCTGTGCCCCCTCCCCACCCACCTCTCGGCCGGGTTCTCCAGCGGGACCCGTCAGGCCGGGGGGACCCACGGGGCCGGGGGGTCCTCGGTCGCCAGCAGAACCAGGGGCTCCTTGTTTGCCGGGTTCTCCCTGGAGGAAAGGGGAAGGGAGGACAAGAGCTGTGAGGGGGAGATCCCGGCACAGCCCTTCCCCCGGGAAATGCCCCAAAGGAGCAGCTCCAGCAGCTACCGGGGGGAGGAGGCAGCTGCTGCCCGTCGGGCACAGGGGGTGGAGGGGGCTGAGCCTGGGGGTGACATGGGGGGAGGAAGGAGGTGACACAGGGGGTGACACAGGGGATGACATGGGGTGACACTGGGGGTGACACTGGGGGTGGAAGGGGATGACACAGGGGGTGACACAGGAGGTGGAAGGGGCTGAAATTAGGGGGTGACACAAGGGGTGACACAGGGGATGGAAGGGGGTGAGCCTGAGGGGTGACATAGGGGGTGACACAGAGAGTAGAGGAGGTTGAGCCTGGGGGTGACACAGGGGGTGACACAGGGGATGAAATGGGCTGAACTTAGGGGTGACACAGAGGATGACACAGGGGGTGATACAGGGGATGAAAGGGGCTGAAATTAGGGGTGACACAGGGGGTGACACAAGGGATGACACAGGGGGTGGAAGGGGCTGAACTTAGGGGTGACACAGGGGCTGACACAGGGTGACACAGGGCATGGAGGGGGCTGAGCCTGGGGGTGACACAGGGGGTGACACAGGGGGTGACACAGGGGGTGGAAGGGGCTGAGCCTGAGGGGTGACAGTGGGGGTGACAGTGGGGGTGACACTGAGGGTGACAGTGAAGGTGGTAACTGGGGGTGACAGAGGGGGTGATCCCAGGGGTGAGCACTCACCGACGGCCCCGGCAGGCCAGGAAAGCCCCTCTCCCCGCGCTGCCCGGGCAGGCCGACGATGCCGCGCTGTCCCGCCAAGCCTTGGGGACCCGGGGGCCCGTCAGGACCCTGGGGGGAGGCAGAGGGGGGGCATCAGAGCCGGGAGGGGGGTGATGGCAGGGCCCTGAACGGGCAGGAAGGGAGGTGCCCCCCCAAATGTACCGCGGGACCGTCCTCGCCGGGGTCTCCCTTCTCCCCTTGGGGGCCGGCGGGGCCCTGCAGCCCGGGGTCCCCGGCACGGCCCGGGGGTCCGGCGTCGCCTCGAGCGCCCTTGGGACCGTCCTTGCCAGCGGAGCCGGGGGGCCCGGGGGGGCCTGGGTTACCCTGGGGGGCACAAGACGGGGTTCAGTGCCAACAGAAGAGGCTTTTCCACCTTTGTTATCCTCATCCTGAGGGGCTCCCGGGCTTGGAGAGCCCTGGGAAAGCCCCAGGGATCCCAGTTGCCCCTGAGTGATCCCAGTTGCCCCTGAGTGATCCTGGTTGCCCCTAAGTGATCCTGGCTGCTCCCAAGTGATCCCTGTTTCCCCCCAGTGATCCCACTTGCCCCAAGTGATCCCTGTTGCCAAGTCATCCCAGTTTCCTCCCAAGTGAATCCAGTAGCCCCGGAGCAATCCCAGTTGCCCCTGAGTGATCCCAGTTGCCCCCCCAGTGATCCCAGATGTCCCAAAATAATCCTGGCTTCTCCCAAGTGATCCTGGTTGCCCCTGAGTGATCCTAGTTGCCCCCCAGTGATCCCAGTTGCCCCAAAATGATCCTGGCTTCTCCCAAGTGATGTAATCCTGGTTGCCTCCAAGTGATCCCAGCTGCTCCCAAGTGATCCCTGTTGCCAAGTGATCCCTGTTTCCTCCAGAGTGAACCCAGTTGCCCCTGACCAATCCCAGTTGCCCCTCACCAATCCCAGTTGCCCCTCAGTGAACCCAGTTGCCCCCCAGAGATCCAGTTGCCCCCCAGTTGGATCCTGGCTGCTCCCAACTCACGTTAGGGCCGGGGGGTCCGACGCGTCCAGCAGCTCCGGGGAATCCAGTGGCTCCCTGGGGAAGGAGGAGGAAGGTGGCTCAGCCCCCCTCCCAACCCCCTCCCTGCGCACCCCCCCTTCCCCCAATACTCACAGGGGGTCCTTGAGCACCCCGGGCTCCTTTGGGACCAGTTACACCAGTTGGACCCTGGGAAGAGGAGGAAAACCAGTGAGAGACACGGGAGGGGGTGGGGGGTGCAATTTGGGGTTCCCCAAATTTCCGGGGGAAAGGGACCCCCGGGGGGGGTCACCCCCATTTCGGGGGGCTCTGGCTGTACCCACCTGTGGGCCAGGGGCTCCAGAGGGGCCTTGGGCACCAGGGGAACCGGCGTCACCCTTCTGCCCGGGCTCTCCCTGCTCGCCTTTGGCACCCGGTTGCCCGTCGGCGCCCTGGGGGAAGGGGCTGCTCTTAGAGGGGGGAGTCAAAACTGGGGGCACCGGGACCCAAACTGGGGCACCGGGACCCAAACTGGGGTATTGGGATCCAAACTGGGGGCACCAGGACCAAATACTCACCGGGGGTCCGGCAAATCCAGCGGGACCGGGGGCTCCGGGCTCCCCACGGTCCCCCTGTGTGGAGAGATGGGAGGTCAGTGAGGGGGAGGAGGTCAGTGAGGGGGGTAAATGGGGGGGTAAAGGGGGTAAAGGAGGGGGTAAAGGAGGTAAATGAGAGGGGTAAATGATGAGGTAAATGAGGTAAACAAGGTGGGTAAATGATGGGGTAAATAATGGGGTAAATGAGGTAAATGGTGAGGTAGATGATGTAAATGATGGGGTAAATGAGGTAAGCAAGGGGGGTAAATGAGGGGGTAAATGAGGTAAATGGGGGGGTAAATGAGGCAAATGAGGCGAATGAGGGGGTAAATGAGGCACAGAGAGCAGCAGTGGCACCACCAGCAGCCGGGGGGCTGTGACAGGGTGGCACTTACGGGGGCACCGCGGGCACCGGCAGCACCAGATGGACCGGGGGGGCCGGATTCACCCTGGGAAAGAAAGGATGGAGAGTCGTGGGGGTCCGGGCGGGGTCTCCCGGGCTCGGGGGCAGCCGAGGGGCTGCCGGGGCTCTCTCACCTTCTCGCCGTTGGGGCCGGCGGGGCCGGGGGGGCCGATGGGACCCGTCAGACCCTGCGGGGAGGAGGGAGAGGAGGGTGAGTGAGGCCACCCGAGCGTCCCCAACAGCCACTCCCCTGTCCCACCCCTCTCCCACCCCGTCCCACTCACACGGGCTCCGTCCTTGCCGGGGGCTCCCTCGGGGCCCTTCTCGCCGACGTCTCCCTGAGGGGCGACACGGGGGGCAGGGTGAGCCAAGCCGAGACCCGACAGCACTCATCACACCCCACCCCAGCACCCAGCACTCACCCTGTCTCCCTTGGGACCGGCGATTCCGGCCGCTCCTCTCTCCCCGGGCATCCCCTGCAGCCCCGGGGGTCCCTGGGCGCCGTTGGGGCCGGCGGGGCCGGTGGCACCCTAAAGCAGAGCGGAGGGGGTGGTTTTTGGGGTGCCGAGCCCGCCCTAAGCTGACACCACCGCCCCCCCCGGTGCCACAGCCCCGCTGGTGGCACCGGGCGCTGTCCCCGCTGTCACCCACCTTGGGCCCGTCGGTGCCGGGGGTCCCGGGCAGCCCGCGGGGTCCCTGCAGCCCTTGGGCGCCGGGAGAGCCGCGCTCGCCGGGGAAGCCGCGCTCGCCCTGCCGGGAGGGGTGGGAGGGTGTGAGGAAGGGGAAGGGAAAGGTGACAATGCGCTGTCCCCGCGGAGGGCGGGCGGGGTGCCACCAGCCCGCGGTGCCCCCAGGGGGACCGGCCACCAGGATGGGGGGGAGCTGGTGGCCATGGAAGGGACATGGGGGAGATGCTGGGGGACACTGGGGAACAAGGGAATGTTGGGGGACATTGGGGGGATGTTGGGGGACATTGGCATATTGGGGGACATTGGGAGGATGCTGGGGGGCACTGGGGGACATGGGGATGTTGGAGGACATAGGGGGGGATGCTGGGGGGGCACTGAGGGACATGGGGGGTGCTGGGGGACATGTGGGGGATGCTGGGGATGCTGGGGGACATGGTGATGTTGGGGGACATTGAGGGGATGCAGGGGGCACTGGGGGACATGGGGATGCTGAAGGACATGGGGGGGATGCTGGGGGGCATTGGGGAATTGCTGAGGGACACTGGGGGACAACGGGTTATTGGGGGACATTGGGGGGATGCTGGGGAGCACTGGGGGACATGGATGTGCTGGGGGATATTGGGGAGATGCTGGGGGACAAGGGGGGACATGGATATGCTGGAGGACATTGGGGGGATGTTGGGAGACATTGGGGAAATGCTGAGGGACACTGGGGGACAAGGGGATATTGGGGACATTGGGGGGATGCTGGGAGACATTGGGGGGATGCTGGGGGACATGGGGATGTTGGGGGACATTGAGGGGATGCTGAAGGACACTGGGGGACATGGGGAAGTTGGGGAACATTGGCGGGATGCTGGGGGACACTGGGAGGATGCAACCAGGGTTGCAAGGGAGCAACCAGGGTCTGTCAACCTCCTGGAGACCCCCAAAGCCCCCCACGGGATGGATCCAGTCCCCCCCAGCCAGGAGGGGGGGGTGACACTTACTCTGGGACCAACAAGACCGGGTGCTCCGGCTTCTCCAGGAACACCCTGTGGCAGAGGGGGGAAAAAGCATTGGGGGGTCAGGCCTGGGGGGTGCTGGGGGGCTCTGACCCCCCCTTTGCAGCCCAAGAGGAGGGAAAAGGGGGGGTTCTCACCTGATCTCCGGGTTTGCCGCTCTCTCCGGGGGCACCTGGTGGCCCGGGCAGCCCCTGGGAGGGGAGAGCAGCCCTGTGAGCACGGGGGGGGGCAGCGAGACCACCAGGGACGGGGGGCTCGGGGCCACCCACGAGCATCACCCCACCCCCAGCACCCCCCAGAGCCCCCCTTCCCACGTGCTCACCTGGAAGCCGGAGGGTCCGGGGGCTCCCTGCTCTCCCCTCTCACCTGCGGGGCCCTGTGGGAAGGACGGTGCTGAGGGACCCCCAAACCCCTCGGGCTCGGGGTTTCCCCCACTCCCAGCTTTTGGGCAGAGCTGGGGTTGTGGAGGGCCCCAAAACCCCCAAGGGCAGAGACTGCAGAGTCTTCACCCCCAGCAGAGCCGGGGGGGGTCCTTTGCCCAGCTCTGGGGGGGGTTCAGCCCCCTTGATCTCCCCCTGTTTCACTCACGGCGGGTCCCGGGGGTCCGGCAGCTCCTGTCTCACCATCCTTGCCAGGGAGCCCCTAAAGAGGAGGGAAAACCCCCCCTGAGCTCCGGGCATGGAGCTGCTGCCTCGGCTTCCCCCACTCTGGGGCACCGCAGAGGCCTCGGGGAGCTGCAGCCCCCCAAAATTGAGGGAGGGAGGGAGGGAGGGAACACAACTCACCCGCAGCCCCGGGGCACCGGGCAGTCCCTTCTCACCAGCTTTGCCAGGCTCACCCTGGGGAGAGGCAGAGGTGGCACCGAGGGGGTCTCTGTACCCCCACGGCCCCGTTTTTGGGTGGGAACGAGTGGCAATACTCATTTTTGGGGAGGAAGGGGTAGCAGCACTCATTTTTGGGGAGGAAGAGGTCACATTACTCATTTTTGGGGAGGAATGGGTGGCAGTACTCATTTTTGTGTGGGAACAGGTGGCAATACTCATTTTTGGGTGGGAATGGAGTGGCAGTGCTCATTTTCGGGGAGAAAGGGCGGCAGTGCTCATTTTTGGGTGGGAAGGGGTTGCAGCACTCATTTTTGGGGAGGAAGAGGTCACATTACTCATTTTTGGGGAAGAAGGGGTGGCAGTACTCATTTTTGGGTGGGAACAGGTGGCAATACTCATTTTTGGGTGGGAATGGAGTGGCAGTGCTCATTTTTGGGTGGGAAGGGGTGACAGCACTCATTTTTGGGGAGGGATGGGTGACAGCACTCATTTTTGGGGAAGAAGGGGTTGCAGTACTCATTTTTGGGGAAGAAGGGGTGGCAGTACTCATTTTTGGGGAAGAAGGGGTGGCAGTACTCATTTTTGTGTGGGAACAGGTGGCAGTGCTCATTTTTGGGTGGGAAGGGGTGGCAATATTAATTTTTGGGGAGGAAGGGGTCACAGTGCTTATTTTTGGGGAGGAAGGGGTGGCAGTGCTTGTTTTTGGGTGGGAGCAGGTGACAACACCCATTTTTGGGAGGAAGGGGTGGCAGTGCTCATTTTTGGGTAGGAGCAGGTGTCAGTGCTCATTTTTGGGTGGGAAGGGGTGGCAGTGCTCATTTTTGGGTGGGATCAGGTCACAGTACTCACGTTGGCACCTTTGGGGCCGGGGAATCCCATCACACCGGGTTGGCCACGGGCACCCTGTGGGCCGGGGGGGCCGGGGCGCCCATCCTCGCCGGGGGCACCCTGTGGGGAGGGGAGGGGGTATCAGGGGGTGCCTGTGCCAGACCCCCCCACCCCGCCCAGCCCCCTGCCCACCCCCCCAACACCCCCACGTGCAGCTTCACTTACGGTGGGGCCGACTTTGCCTTGGGGACCAGCGTCACCGGGGCGGCCCGTGAGGCCCTGCGGGGGACAGGGGAGCTCTGGGGGGGGGCACAAGGGTCTGCCCAACCCTCACCACCCCAGAGAGCGTCTTTGCTCATCCCAAGGAGCATCTGACTCCAAAGAGCACCCAATCCCAAAAAGGATCCAACCCCAAAGAGTGTCTGACCCCAAAGAGCACCCAACCCCAAAAAGGATCCAATTCCAAAGAGTGTCCAACCCCAAAGAGCACCCAACCCCAAAAAGGATCCAACCCCAAAAAGGATCCAACCTCAAAAAGGATCCAATCCCAAAGAGCACCCAACCCCAAGGAGCATCTTTGCAAACCCCAAGTGCATCTTAACCCCAAATGCACCTTGGTCACCCCAGAAGGTGTCTTAATTAGCGAAGAACATCTTAATTAGCCCCAAAATGTGCTTTGGACACCCCAGAAGGCGTCTTAATTAGCCAAGAGCATCTTAATTAACCCCAAAGAGTGACTGACTCAACCCCAGAAAACACCTTAATGCCAAAGAGCACCGGGGCAGAGGCCAAAAGCACTGCATTGACCCCAAAAGCATCTTAAACAACCCCAAAAGCACCTTATTGACCCCAAAAGCACCTTAAACAACCCTGAAAGCACCTTATTAACCCCAAAGGCACTTTATTGACCCCAAAAGCACGTAATTGACCCCAGAAGCACCTCAGACAACCCTAAAAGCACCTTATCAACCCTAAAAGCACCTAATTGACCCCAGAAGCACCTAATTGACTCTAGAAGCATCTTAACCCTAAAAGCACCTCAGACAACCCTAAAAGCACTTCATCAACCCTAAAAAGACCTTATCAACCTTAAAAACACCTTATCAACCCTAAAGGCACATCGTTGACCCCAGAAGCTTCTCATTGACCACAAAAGCATCTTAACCCTAAAAACACCTCAGACAACCCTAAAAGCACCTTATCAACCCTAAAGGTGCCTCATTGACCCCAGAAGCATCTTAACCCTAAAAGCATCTTATCAACCCTGAAACCACCTTAACAACCCTAAAGGCACATCACTGACCCCAGAAGCACCTCATTGACCCCAGAAGCATCTTAACCCTAAAAGCACCTTACCAACCCTAAAAGCGCCTCATCGACCCCAAAAGCACCTCATTGACCCCAAAAGCACCTCGTTGACCCCAAAAGCACCTCGTTGACCCCAGAAGCATCCTAACCCTTAAAGCACCTTATTGATCCCAAAAGCGCCTTACCGACCCCAAAAGCACCTCACTGACCCCAAAGCCCCCTCTTGCTGACCCAGCGGGTCCCACCGGCGTCCCCACTGTCCCCACTGTCCCCTGTCCCCCCTGGCCCCCTCCCCCAGTGCCCCCCACCCGCTGTGGGACCCCCCGTTTCTCACCCTGGCTCCGGGCAGTCCGGGCTCTCCGGGCCGTCCGGGGTCTCCGGTGGCTCCTTTGGGACCCGCCAGCCCGGCGGGGCCGCGCTCGCCCGGAGCGCCCTGCGAGGGGTGGGGGGTGACTCCGGGGGTCCAGGGGGGTGATCCCCGCCCTGGAAACCTCCCCCTTCCCCCCCGCGACCCCCGCCCACCCCCCACCGCGACCCCCCCACCTTGGGTCCGGCCAGCCCGTCCTGTCCCGGAAAGCCGCGGTTGCCGGGAGCGCCCTGTGGAGGAAGAGGAGGAGGAGGAAGAAGAGGAGGATGGGAGTCAGGGGAGATTTTTTTAGGGTGGGTTTTGGGGAGGTTTTGGGGCGGGGGGGACACACACACTCACCCGTTCTCCCGGGGGTCCCAAAGGACCGGCAGCGCCCGGTTCGCCGCGGGCTCCTCTCTTGCCTTCCTCGCCCGCCGGCCCGGGGGCACCTTGGGGTCCCGCGGGGCCCTGCGGGAGGGGAGGGAGAGGAGGGAAAAGGGGGTCACCAGGAGCCTTTCTCCCCCCATTGCCATCCCCCCCAACCCGGGCAGGAGCCCCCCGACGTGCCCCCCACAGTCCCGGCGGCGCCGGGGCCCCGCGGAGCCCCGGCATTGAGGGTGGTTAATGAAGCGAGGGGGGAATGTCCCCGCGGGGGGGGGGGGACAGGGCGCGCACACAGCGGCCCTTTGTCCCCCCGCGGGAGGGGGACGCTGCCCCTCGAGGGGCCTCCCGAGGGGGACAGGCCCCGGCAGACGCCGAGGAGACGCCGCGGGGACGGGGACGGGGATGGGGATGGGGACGGGACCCCGCTCAGGGTGGGGGGTCCCGGGTGCGGCCCCTCCCCGGGCCCGGACTCACCGTCTCACCCTTGGGTCCCTGCTCGCCTTTGAAGCCCGCGATTCCCGGTTCTCCCTGCGGAGAGAGGGGGTTGGGGAGGGAGGCTAGGTGTCAGTGCCCCTGTCCCTGGTGTGGAATCCAGCTCCTGTCCCCATCCCTGGTGAGGAATCCAGGTCCTGTCCCCATCCCTACTGTGGAATCCAGCTCCTATCTCCATTCTCCAGCTCCTGTCCCCATCCCTGGTGTGGAATTCAGGTTCTGTCCCCATCCCTGTGTTCTCCAGCTGTGTTCTCCAGCTCCTGTCTCCATTCTCCAGGACCTGTCCTTGGTCCCTGCTGTGTTCTCCAGGTCCTGTCCCCATCCCTGCTGTGGAATCCAGCTCTTGTCCCCATCCCTACTGTGGAATCCAGCTCCTGTCTCCATTCTCCAGCTCCTGTCTCCATTCTCTAGCTCCTGTCCCTATCCCTACTGTGGAATCCAGCTCCTGTCCTCCATCCCTGGTGTGGAATCCAGGTCCTATCCCCATCCCTGATGTGGAATCCAGGTCCTATCCTCATCCCTGGTGTGTTCTCCATGTCCTATCACCATCCCTGGTGTGTTCTCCAGGCCCTGTCCCCATTCCTGATGTGTTCACCAGCTCCTGTCTCCATTCTCCAGCTCCTGTCCACATTCTCCAGCTCCTGTCTCCATCCCTGGTGTGTTTTCCAGGCCCTCTCCCCATCCCTGGTGTGGTCTCCAGCTCCTGTCCCCATCTCTCTTGCATTTTCCAGTTCCTCTCCCCATCCCTGGTGTGTTCTCCAGGCCCTGTTCCCATCCCTTTCCTCATCTCCATCTTCATCCCAGTCCTCTTACCTGTTTCCATCCCCATCCCATCCCACCTGTGGGAAAATGGGAAAAAGGGGTGGAAAGGGAAAAAAGGAGGGGAAATGGAAATAAAAGGGGAAAAGGGGAGGGAATTGGAATAGGAAAAAAGGGAAAAAATGGAGGGGAAGGGAAAAAGGTGG